GTATTAATCTGGGTAGTATCACCCTCACTAACACTCATCTTGCAATGTTAATGTGCTAAATTCTTTATAATTTTGAATGTAAAAAATAAAGGTGGAAATTATGATTAGAGAGGGAATCGTGTACCTACTGATGAATTTCTTGGGGAATCACAAACTCATAGATAAGCACGCTTGGGGCCCCCTTTCCACACACCAGACTGCCTGCCCAGGCCTGCCCCAATCCCTTCTCTCACCTACAAAGCAGACAGGACTGCCTTCTTCTCACAGGGCTGCTAATGTAAAATGAGTTGCTAGGGAATGTGCTTGAGCCAACTCAGGAAGTCACTGCCGTCAGTCCTACACCCCACTCCCACATTCTGATGGGCCAGGTGATGTTGGTCAGAATGTCTAGCCCCAGAACATTGTAGCTGAAAGTGATCTTAAAGATCTTCTTATTTATTGGGAAACTGAGGCACAGGGAAGCGTGCCCATGTTATACAATCTATTAGTGGCACAGCTGGGATCCTCAGGGCTCCTCATTCCAGTTCAGTACCTTTCACACTGAGATAATGGAAGGGAAAAGTTACATACCCCAAGCAACAGTTTATCAGTCAGGACCCCTTCAGGAGATAAAACCCAGTATTTCAAACATAGGGAATTTAATCAAGGGAATTCGATACACAGGTAACATAAGGCCTAACAAATGGCCGGAGAACCATTAGGCAATCGTGATCAGCAAGGAGAACATTCCACTGCTACTCCTTATGCTGGAAGGACATTGGGAAGATGTGAATCATATGGGACCCCAGGGTGGGGACTTCCTGATGGCAGCCGAGAACCCAGAGTGGAGGGCACTCAGGTGCCATGTTCAGGTGCTGTTGGAAGCTCTGTTACAGGGTGAGCCAGACTCCCCAGGCTTAGCATGGCCTCCTGTTGCACACAGCTAATTAGAAGCCACTTGGCAAGGGGCATGGGAAATGCAGTTTTCTGTGGCACAGGGTAGAGGTGGGGAAGGGTGGGAAAAGCATCCGAGAACAAATAGACACCTGCTGCCACAGGTGGGCAGCCTGAAAGAGCTCTATGATTTTAGAACAGATTTGTCAGCTATTAACTTTTAAAACTATTTTAGAAATGATTTGTGCACCAAGTTCATAGTAACTATGGTGTGTGGAGATGTCAGTTGAGAAGTAATCCTTGGCCAAAGTGTAGACAGTCGAGAGCTGGCCACACTCAGTATCCCTTGACCTTGGCCTATCCTTGTTCACTGCAGCCTGGAGCTGTTGGACTCCCCAGTTTCTTGTCCGAATCCACAGCCTTGTTATTCTTGGGCAGCACCCAATTTCTGTGCAGGGCTTCTTGAAAATTGCTTCTAGGTTTCACTGTTTGGAACAACTGAGGGTGTCCCTCAGGAATAGGATGAACTGGAAGTCATGACTGAAGGGGCAGGATGGCATAAGGGAGATTTTTTTGTTTGCATTTGTTTCTGTTTTTGGCAATACATTTTTAATTATTTTTAGCATTAAATCATGGATAACGAGAAAGAGTTAATCTACTCAAGCTATATGGAGGAGAAGCAACTGAACACAGGGAAACATTAGCCATCTTTGAGGATGTCTATGTTCCAGGAGTTCTCTTAAAAGCTTTGCATCTATTAGACACACTTAAGCTTCACACTCACCGTGCTGTGTGTTAGAAACAACTAGTTCCCCCAATTTGTAGATGAGGACATAACATTCAGAAAGATTTAAGTAACTTGGCCAAGTTGGCAGGTTAATAAGTGGTGGGGCTGTGTTTGGAACCCAGGAAGCTGGAAGGCAGAGTCCATCTTCTTAACTACTAATTTGTGCCTTGCTCTGACCTATGTCTGCTGATGCATGGGTCTTCCCCAGGCTCCTAGCCCCAGTGCACGGGGCGCTGATACCCACAGGGCTGGTGGGGTTGGCCAGGGACACTGCTGATGCTATGATGAGGTGGTGAGTGCCACATTATTGCAGAGCACTTAGTTGCTAATTGCCATTTAATCAAAAGATGAATATAGTTATTTCTTTTCTCCTTCTGTCCAAGAGCCAGTGAGATGGTAATTACTTCTGAACTAAGTGCTGAAGATGTGGCTTTGCACGGAGATGGAGCTAAATACCACATCCTTTGAGCCACCGCATTCCTGGCAGTGCTTGTGTACCCACGTGGCCAATTAAACACGTTGCTTTGATATTAGATGCTCATTCCAAACTTCGCATTTCCCTTCGGTGATGATGTTTTCCCTCTTGGGAATTTGATTTTTAAAAAACACAAAATTTAGACTCTATATTTGGTAAATTAAACAACCCAGAGTTTTGTAGAGGTGATACTACATTTTGGCCAACAGTTGAAATAGAAAACTTTGCATTTGGATAGTTCTAAACTGAAAGGGACTTAACTTGGAAGTGTGTCTCCACGGTCTCCTCTTTACAACTGCTGTATGGAGTTGAGGGGCTGCTTTTTGTTTTCTGTGGTTTAAAGTTTGAAGGATATAGAAACAGAGTTAGACAGAATTTCTGTAAACATGGAAATGCAATGTATCAGCTTATCCTTCTCTGAGGGCTTTTCCTTCAGTTGACTTGTAAATGGGTCAGGGCTGATCTGTCTCTCACGGAGAGCAATAAAGTGAGTCAGTTAACTGACTTGTCCAAAATCACTCAGTTAATGAATACAGTCCCTGTTTTCTGACTCCCGGTCAAATGTCACAGGTGATATCTGAGGTTAGTAAGACTTCAACCTTATAAAGTCCTAATCGGCTTTGGAATAAATGTGCAGCCCCTAAGTAGATCATATGTGCAGTAAAGCTGCCAAATGTTTGGAAGCAGGGTGTGTGCGATCTCGGTGTGGACTTTGCAGGGGCTTGTGAGTGATGGAGCTAGTGAGGCTTGAGATGTCAATTGGTTATTATGATCTCAGTTTATGGCTTTTCTGTTGGGACTCCCTGAGGATAGTTACCTAAGTGCCTTAACAAAAAGAATTGCAAATCTCTGTGTCTTTACACAATAGGGCAGTGGTTCTCACTCTTTAGAGCATCTGAATCCTCTTCCTAAGATACAAACTGTGGGCCCCTTTCCCAGGGGATAGGGAGTAAATCTGGATGGAGGAAATCTCAGCTAGGCCCTGAAAATCGCATTTTTAATAAGATTCCAACTGATGCTTATGCTGCTTGTCTGGGGACCACACTTTGAGAAGCAGTGCACTTGAAGGACTTAGTTCTTCCTCTGTCACAGTCCAATGAAGCTCTTTCATTCCCTATCACATGGACCCCTCTTCTGCAGGCAGACAGTGGGTCATGGGGGAGAGAGGAGAGAGGATTGTGCCACAGCGTTCTAGGGGCCAGGCCTGGAAGTGGGGTATAGTACTGGTGCTTACATCCCTTTGGCTAGAATCAGCTGTGGGGCTCGACCCAATTATGAAAGGAATCTGGGAAGAGTCTAGCTGAATAGTCAGGAGGAAAAAGAAATTGGTGAAAAAACAGCCAATTTTTTCCCACAAGTTTATGAAAATCTTCCTGAGGTTTATAAAAGCCTTCCTCTTTACCTTTCTCCTCCACCTAACACACGCTGAAAATACTTCTGAACCATTTATTTTGCATGTTGAATGATGTTCTTTGGCCAACCTGGATGTGTTCTTGGGTACTGGCAAGGGAGTTGATGAAGCCCGTTGTCCATGTTCCCTCCATGGATGAAGACTCTGGTACACTTCCCCGAGGGCAGGGCTCGTCTGCACCGGAAGCCAGACCAGATCTAGAAGGGGAGCCCCCCCACTCTATATCAATTTTCCATTCATTGTCTCTTAGCTCCGGATCCACCCTTCTCTGCCCTGATGTGTGATCCTGTAGCCAGATGCTATTTTGAAGTGTTTCTCCTTTGCCCACTGGCCAAATGTTCACTGGCAGATTCTAGAGTGGCTCTGCTGCTGGGTTCTGGACGTCCACTGTTACCATCCACTCCACTAGCCCAGTAGCCCATGCAGCTGAGCTCCAGCTGGGCCTTCAGGCCATGCTTTCCCCACTGGTGGCCACTTCCCAGGAGCTCTTCCTACCCATCTCCCCTACAGGGACAGGCTGCTGCTCCAGACCATCTGCCTTTGCCTTCCAGAAGGTGTCTTTGCCACCAGCAGGCTTTAAGTTCCTGCGGAGCTAAGCCTCTCTGATGAGGCCGGAGCCTCAGTCTGGGGGTGGCAGGGGGTGGGGGGGTGCTTCTCTCCTAGGCCTTTGTCCCTTGTTTGCTCTCCCTCAGCCCAGAGGTAATGGCTATGTATTTAGGGTCCTTTTTAAGCCTCTTGTAATAATTAAGCACATTTTGTAGTCAACATTTCTTTATATTACATTTTCCTTGTTAAAATAGAGTGATTTCTGCTTTTTAACTGGACCCTGACAGATAGGACCTCCTGGTGATTTTGGCTGCAGAAGGCAAAGTTGAATATACATCCTCTCAAATCAAAAAGAAGGGCAGCAAAACTGTACAGACTCAAAGCTCATTTCTGTCTATTTCCATTCTTTACTCTTTCTGTCATGACGTGGATTTCCTGCCCTGGGAAAGGCTGGTGTTCTTATTTGACATCCAACAGGAATCGGGTGAGTGGAGCTTCAAGTCTCAGACTTCCAGACTCTACAGCCCAGAGCCTCCCCAGCTGGGGGCTCCCCTGGGTAAGGCCCTGGGTAGGATTCCCAGGTTAGCCAGGGGCATGAGAAAGAGAGAGGAAACATATGTGTCATCAGTAACCAGAAACCACCGCTGCCGCCTCCGTCTCTGTCTGAGGGTGAGACCATAAAGTGAGCTGTGTGGGACAACCAGGCTTCTGGCCTTCGCTCAGTTCTACTGCCCCAGCAGTAGGAATCAATACAACCTAAAAAAGAAAAAAATCCCCAGCAAAAGTTGAATAAATAGCACATGATCTAATTTTAGGCCACAGAAAACAAAAGGTCAGCAGAGAAGAAGGATAATAATAATAATACTTCCAGTCAACATTAGCTGCTTTTTATTTCTTTTCCTCCACAGCGGATGGATCCGTGCCAGAGAAAGGCTGAGGCCGACTCTGCTCCCTTCCTGGCCAGCTGACCTTGGCTTCCCAGATGGGCCACCGCGAGGGCCTCCCACCCAAGTCTCTGGCAAAGGCAAACTTGTTCCTGTGATTTAGGGACCTGAGAAAGCTCTTTAACAGGAAACCTCTGCCCTACTGCTACCTCTGAAATTTCACCATAAGAGCCTCATGGGTGACTGTCTACAGTCAACCTTGTTAAAAATTGTGGTGAAATGCCCATAACATAAAATTAACCACTTTAAAGGGAGGAATGCAGTGGTATTTCTTACATGCACAACATCGTATAACCACCCCTCTGTCTAGTTCCAAAACATTTCTTCACCCCAAAAGGAAACCCTGTACCCACTAAGCAGTCATTCGCCATTTGTCCTCCCTCCAGCCCTTGGCAACCACTGGTCTGCTCTCCATGTCTATGGATCAGACTATCCTGGGCATTTTATATAAATGGAACCATACAATATGCGGTCTTTTGTGTCTGGCTACTTTGACTCAGCATCGTGTTTTTAAGGTTCGTTCTTTTTTATGGCTGAATCCAAATGCTCCTCAGTGGATGGATGGACAAACAAATTGTGATGTATACACATCGACTCCTTTTAAGTAATTTTTAAATGATCTCCTCAAATGGAAGAGATAACTCATAGGACCACTGCCACCCTTATCTTCATTTGAATGAGATTATCATAAAATTGCTTTTTACCAAAAAGACTAGGTAAACTGCAGGATAGAGAGGACTTTCAAACTACAGAAAGATGGTAGAAGCATGAGGGGTGGGAAAGCCAATGACAGTTTAGCAGAGGTCTTACTCCAGTTTGAGACCTAGGAAGTCATTCCCGTGGGCTCTCTCTGAGTAAGCAAAACATTACATTGCTGAGTGTAGGCTCAAAACATGTACATCTTTATTCTCAGAGATCAATGTGCCGAAAAGGTTCTGGAGGGAAAATCTGCCTTGTTTTCATCCAGCATGCTACTGCACCAAGTCTTCTTGGCTGAGTACTTTAATTGCAGAGCACGTAACCTCATCAGCCCCAAGTGGGTGTACGTGGTGCTGGCTGACCGAAGCTGCTCCTCTGTGACGGCCTGGTGAGCACATTTCTGCAGTAGCACCATCTATACTGGGTTAGGTTGACTTTCCATTCCTCATGTGGCACGATAAAATACCTTTGGGAGGAAATAGTCCACGATTCAAGGAGACAGATTTCCCTCTTCATCTGCGTTGGGAGTTAATTTGCTGGCAATTATAGTGGCTTTACCATACACTTAGAGTCTCATTCATTTACATTCCAGGAAGAAGGATGACTCTTTATTACTTTTTTATTTAAATTATTGATGCTGAAAACCATGAGCCATTCATTTCCTGCTTTCTCTACATGGGTAATTGACTAATTCAGGCAGGTGTAGGTTTGAGAAAGCGGTTGAGTTGGCACGATCTGATCGCTGTGGGGGCCAAGCCGTTAATTTGTGCAGAGATAATTGTCAGTCATGTGAGAGTCATCACCGTGTTGGAGCACACAGGTATCTCCCTGTGCACAGCTATTTTCTCTAGATGCCCATGCCAGGCTTGGGGTGTGGGTTATCTCTGTATATGCACAGGCATCTCTAGTGCACTTAGATCTTTTACTCTACCTGCTCTTGCTAATGTACTTCCTGTAGTCATCCAGCTAGTGGCAGCATCTTGTACCCACGTTCTGCTTGTAAGCAGTCTGTTGTTAGGCAGACCAAACAGAAAGAGCCACAAAGGGAGGATGGGCCGAGTCCATATAAGTGAGGCAAGATGTGCAGCCACCAAAATCTAAAAAGGTTAAACTGAAAAGGAGCACATTTTGAGTCAGCTATTTTTTAGAGAGAGAGAGAGAGCAGGGCATGAATTCGGCAAGCATATGGGGAGAGTGTGTTACATATTTCAGGAGGTGTGCTACACTCCCCAGAGACTTAGAGAACAGTAGCACATAGTCCTTGACCTCAAGAAATACACACATTTGTCAAGGGAGAAAACATGAAATCATAGGAGAAACAGGATAAGTTTTATAATCAAAAAGAAAACAAATAGAAGGAGTCTAGAGGAAGAAACTGTTCATTATTGGAGAAGGAGGTGGAAGATGTTTCTGGAGGAAAGATGTGACTTTCAGCTCCAGCTGGTGGGGTAAAAGGGGCTGGTCAGGTGGAGAAGGAAGCGGGAGAGGGAATTCCAGGACTGTCTGGGTTAGAAGACATCAGCTGGCTGTTAGACTGTTAGTGAGAGCCATTCTTTTGGGAGACTGATGATAAAGCAACAGTGGTGGGAATGTTGAGTGGAGCTGATTCAGGCAGATATTTCAGAGATAAGTGATGGCTCTTAGGGAACCCATGGATGCAGGGGGCTATGCAAAGAGAAAGGAGACAGGGATGATTAGTGTGTCTGTTAAGGTGAGCAGGTGGACGCTACTACCCTCAACAGAGGAAGCAAACATTTGGAGAGGATAATAATGGATTCTACTTGGGCCATGTAAGTTTTAGCTTCCCAAGAGAAATCTTGGGAGAGATGGCTGGTCAACACTGGGGATTATGCCCTGTGGACAGGAGAGAAGGCAATGCTGATGTTCTCTAGGTATTAACACATCTTATTCTAACACTAAGCAATTAGCATATTTGGGAATGGCATTGGAATTTCGGTCTTTTATACTTGAAAACCTCATTAATGCAGTTGTCATCATATTTTTGTTGTTGTTTTTTTTGGTTCAAAGAAATGAAGTCCTCTCATTAATGCATCGGTATTTTAGCCAATGATGCATTATATTCCTATGCTTTTTAGCTTCTGGAGAAAGAACCAACGCATCTAAACTGTATACTGCTACTAACACAACGTGAATCTCTGGAATGGTGTTTATGTTTGTAAAGGCAGTTTTGCGTTACTTAACAATTCAAAGTGTATTAAAAGGAAGCACTGAAAAATTACTTAGCAATAAAGCTCTTTTTTTTCTCTCTTAGTGAAAAAGGAAGTAGTCACTAGCAAAAATCACTAGTGCCCTAATGACATCATTCAGTTGTTCATGTGGCAGGGGATCAGGGCTTCCAAGGGACTTTGCTTTGATCTACCTCTTCTGCTCATGACATAGCATGGGTCCCCATGGATGGAAGGATAAAGCCAAAGTCTCAGGCTGATTTTCAAGTCTCCACTGGACCCTCTTCACCTCTACTACCCAATCTTGCATAACCATCATCAATGAAAATTCTGTTCAAGCCAATTGGGTCTTTTCACCATCACCCAAATGTGATGTGGGCATTTCTGCTCCAGCGCCTGTTGAGGCTCTTCTGGGTCCAGTCCACAATTCTGATGACCTGGCATGTTATCTGATTGGTAATGTGAAACTCAGAGCAATTTCTAATATGATTTAACATAACACACTTTGTTTTATTCAGGATGGTCTCTGGTAAGAGGTTGGGGAAGAGATACTTCCCTTGGGTAGTTGGGAAGCCTTGGAGGGGTTGAGGTGAGCGGAGAGGAAGCAGCACTAGGCTGGATTCTAAGGGGGCACCAAATTTGACAGGTATTTCCTAATGTCTTCTCTTTTAGATGATGGTGGATGTGGGGAATCCTTTAATGAAAAGTAGAAAAGCAGGAAGAGGGACAGGGAGCAAGAATACAAATGTCTGGCTCAGTTTGGGGCACATGAGCTCATGGTGTCTGGAATACCCAGGTGGACTTGGAGAGCTGGAAGCTAAAATTGCCACTCTCAAGAGAAGCCAGAAGAAAGGAATATAAAGTAACTGTAAAAAGTGCCACAAATATTTGCATGTTGATTGTGGCTACTTAAGTCTTAGAGGGGGTTTGAAAACAGTTTGTTTTCCACATAGTTTCAGCATGATTCTTGCCCTCCTTTTTTAAAAATACTGTTTGCAGTATGTATGAAGAAAATGCTTGCTTAGCAGTTTAGCCCATATTAATCACCAATTCCAAATTCGTGGCATCAGAATTACAAGAAGTTTCATATTATATAATTAGAAGAAGATTCCAGTCTTTGGTTCAATGATTGTGAACCCATATTACAGTCTTGTTACATTTGATAATGACATAGCAGACATTCTATCAGAATTTGTATAGCTGGAGAGAGATTCCAAAAGGCTTTAATCTTGTCACAAATCAGAAGCAGCTGCTCCTTATAAAAAGGAAAGCTCATGTTTGGATGGCCCACAGAAAAGCAAATGTGACTTAAAGTCTTCAACAGCAGATTCTGGGATTTTTTATTTCAAAAACAGGTGTGTTTTCACCAGACACCTCTCCTCCATATGGATTCTTGTTTTTATTTTTTTAGACTTCTCTCAAATTGAAACTTGCATTTATGTAATGAATTTTATCATAAGCACTTAGGCATTTTAAGCTAAGGCTAAGCATTATCTTGAGACTTTTACACACTGAAGAAGACAGATACACGGAAAATGTAATTTAAGTACAACTTGCCCCCTCTGAGTGGCAGAATAACTAAAGAGAGAGATGTTATTACCATCCGCCAGTCAAGGACTGCAAGCAAGCCTCAAGTGCTGAGCCTACAAACCTTCTGCAGGTTCTATGCTGACATGAAACTGCTGTAGTAGAAACTCTAAAACTAACAAGGGTATTAGCTTCATTGATTTTCTGAAAAGGGGAAAGAAAAAAAAACACACACTCTGCTAAGTCCAGGAAAGAGATTTAATACAACTGTCTTTTAATAATATTAAGTTTCTTAGAATCAATATTTTCTCCCCCTTATATTATACTAAGGGTTGCTATACACCAGTTGCTATGCAGGAGAATGGGAATCAATATAAGGTTTACCTTCTTTGGAGACTATTTCAAAGGCCTGCATAATGGAGCATAGATTAGGAAGAGCGAAATTGAATTTTAAGTACACTGACATTATGCTATCATCTTCAACCCGGGGAATATAGATTGTTCTGGGGCCCATGGGACCCTCAAGGGCTCAGGGTGAGAGGTGCCTGTTACAGATGGGCCCACAGAACTGCAGTAACTGGGATCCCTCTAAGACTGTTTAACAAATGCTAAATACAAGCCTTTGGGCCACTCCTAAAATATCTTCAGGCACTCTAAAGGGTACTTGGGGAGTAGGGATGATGGTGTGTTCTTTTCACAGCTTAGCAGAGTGGCTTTTTAACTATGCCAAACCCAGTCTGTGTTAACTCCAACTCTGTGCTGAAACTCCTTGCTATTCAGCTTTATTTTGTAAAATCAAATGGATATTTCTTAGCCAAAAAAATTTACTCTTGATAGAATCATTGAATTTTTTTTTACAACAGTGCAAAAATAACATTTTTTATTTGTATCTATGGAGAATAATTATACCACAAAAATATCAAAAGCTCGAATTTTTAGAGTGGGTAGAGCACATTAGTTTTTGGGTGCTGATTAATAGTGGTACTGGTCTCTTATTTTTGACAGGTTGACTTGAGAAAAAAAGTTCTGAAAATTTACTGTGACGTTGATATTTACAAGTTCCTA